GTCATCTCTCGCAGGGGGCACACACACCTTACACGCGTGGAATCCCGTGGGTCAAAAGTCCGGAGCGCGTGCGTTTGACTGGAGGACGCGCATGTTGGAGAGAACGTGGACACTCCTATAGGTCAATTTCTTCTTATAGGAAACTTCCGCCGCCGGCTTGCCCGGGAACTACTTGTAATAGACTCTTATTCACTGATTCCGAACTTGTTCCTTTTCTTTTTTTGGTCTGTGCTTCTAACAGCGATGGCCTCCACCCTAATATCATAGCGACGGCCTCTACCCCAATAGTGGTGGCCTCCATCCTACTAGCGATGGCTTCCAACCTTTGGCTGAACGGGACCTTTGCGGAACGATTGGCTTCAGTCATCATCGGAGTCCGCTTCTTTGGAGGGCTGCCGCATCGCCAGTAATTTCCTGTCAGGATCTGCTGGCGGATGGATTCGAGTTTCTGGATTTGGAAAGATCGTAGGTAGGAACAGCCATGGGGATCCTGGCTCTGTGCACATGAATCTATATAATCAATCAAATCAAATCTAGAATCTCTCTCTAGATTGCGCGAGAGAGAGAGAGAGATCAGTTTTGAATACAACTGAATAATGTGCGTACACAGGGTTGGGGTGGGGCAGTTATTGATGGGGTGGGGAGGGGGATGTGGTGGGCATGTATTCTGCCACGATTACCAAGTCCAAAGGGTGGGGCCGGAGTCTTTACCAGCCTGGACATCTGCTGCATGGCATCGCCGTTGAGCCCCCAAAGCTGCAAAGCATACCACCGAATGTTCCAACCCTTGGTGGGCAAAACCTGATGAACGATGCGCTCGGACAGGTGCAGAACCAAGGTGTCCATGTGCGGGGCCACCCTGCGAGCGACGGAGTGTTTCGCGCTGTGACAGCAGGGCCCTGAACTTCGGACATTGAGCAGGCTTCGGCAGTGGGTGTCTTGGGTAATTACATGTACTTACAATGGAATGATAAAAAATAAGAAAATATGAGAAAAATTGATGAAGGAAGCATCCGAAATCATTAAAGATCCTCTGCTTTGAACCCTGGAGGCAGCCTTGCCTTACTCTTGGACACTTTCTAGCACCAGATGCAGAGCTGGAAGATGATGGCACCATGAAGATGTCCATGCCACCCTGCGCGAACACGCAACGATTGATAATGAAACGGTCCCACACAGCCTATTGCAACCTCGACCTCGTCGTCCTACAAGTGGCATGAGAAGCAAGAAGCCTGTTCTCCTTCTTCTGGGGCCCAGTGTGGGTTGATGTAGTATGTGCACGAAACACCTTGGCTTCTCTGGAAGGGCACTTGAAAGCAAAACTGCAGGCGTCAAGACTATCAATGGATAATAGAGAGAAATGCACAAGTGAAAAAGGTGACAATAGTGGCAAGATAGCAAGATCATCATGGTGTTACATGCACGTTGCCGAAGGAAATTGAAGCAACCAAGGCACGCATTCCGTTGTCTGGAAGGCTACTTTCATCCTCGTGAGGATTGTCAATGTGTATCTTGTGAGTCGCATCGCCCGTGTAGCATGTTAGTAGGGGCTGACCGAGCCGGTCGAAAGCCACCTCGGAATTCGTGCCCAACAGTGCTACCGGCTACCCATGGAGAACCAGGAGCAGTCCAGCAAGTGAAGGCACTCCATTTTCTTTATATTTACGATGCTCATGATCTGGGATCAAGAATGTACCCAGCATTGCCAGCAAAGGCACACCAAGCTCTTTTTCAAGAAGCGGGCCCAAGCCAGCACAAAAGTCTGCCATGTTGCGACCCAAGAGTTTCCTTAGCTCGATGCGAAGCTGGACATCACGACATCACCACCAACCACCCCACCAAAGCATCGCTGGCTGCCAAGATTCAGAGCATTCATCAACTGGATGGCTCTTGAGTCACCCTCTCCTGGATGGAAGAGGTCGATGGTTTTATGATTTCTGACACCCCTGACAGGATCACCACGGAGAAACCAAGCGGGCCGAGGGGCGAATCCAAACGCTCTTCTCCACGTCCTGGAGGGTTTGGACTGAACGCGTGAGCGTGAGTCGACATGCCACGAGTCCGGTTCACGGAACGGTTCCTGAAGCGCGTGGCTCCAAAGTTGTGCTTCTAAAAGGCTCCGGTCATCGTGGACACGAATCGGCGGCTTGAACTCTCCTGGCCAAGTCGGAGAAGAAGCCGGCACGATGTCCAGCCATTTGATGTGAAAGAATCTGAAGGCCCCACACGTAGCCCACACAAGCCATACAAAAGTCCCAATTATTCATAGTATTTATATAATAGATACAGTAATACTGCCTGTGCACATTCTGAGGGCTAAAGTGACTGAAATCCGCCTTCGATCCCATCACTGATGTTGGAAGGGCGAGCTGCCAATGCACGCACGCAATCACTCACATGATGCTTCGAGCCAAGCGACCATCCTCCCAGAGTGTCTCTGCCTCTTCGAAGGCCGCCTGGACCTGATTGACCGTATCAACCCCTCCCACCATCTTCGTCTCTCCACCGATCTCTTCCCATCTCGCTCCTTCCAATCCAATCCTTTCTCACTCTTTTTCGAGTCAAAAACGCATGAACTTCTGTCAGGTCACCAGCTCAGGTGGCGCATTCGCCTGCACCAAACAAAAGCCTCGTTCCTTAAGCACTTGCACAATCTTCTGGGCTGCAAGCCTGGGCTGCGACAGGATGCCCGAAAAAAGATCCACTGAATAATCAGGGCGCCAATGGTCTACACATGCCATCACATGCCTACGGCAAAACACTGCAGCAAGGAGACACGCCATCAGGTTCATCTTGCATGCCTGGGCCACACAATTCCCACAAACCGAAGGAACACGCATCAGCCACCCCATGGCATCGCAGACCTTCACTACCAAGCGACGAATGTCAAAATCGTTGCCTTCCTCGCCCGGCTTTCTCTCAATCGGACCTTCCAATCCATCATCCGCCCACCGCATAGCCTCCTGCCGGACTTCTGAGGGCGGTTTGCGGCTTTGAAGGGATTCTCGATGATCTGTTTGCAACCAACGTAAATCTCCTTTGGCTTTCAGTTGCTACCAGGCAAAGACCGAAGCACTGACAGCGTGTTTTTCTTTTTCCATACAAAGCGTTAAGCAGTTAAAGAAACCCACACAAAACAGGTACTGTAGATCTTTATGGAATTGTGTGGGTCTTTATGCAAAAACATACATGAAGGATTCTACAGGTCCGGCCTTTGAGGCTTTTGTCTTCACCATGGCTGCAAAGGAGTTGGATTGGCTCGAACGCAAATGCTGACCGTTTGAGCGAATGGTCCAGATGATTTGCTAGCAAATCAACATACAAACATATACAAACTGCATCCAGCTGCTCAAGAGCTTCCTCTTCTCTTTCCGTTCTGCGGTCGCAGATCTTGCACTTACGCGATTTAAATCAGCGCATATCATTGGCCATGTGTAGGACCATGCAGGATCCATCTTTGAGTCGTTTGTCATTCGGTCTTGATTTTGTGTTGCTCTGGACCCCGAAGAACGACCCCACATACAAAGAGAACCAGCACAGGCAGTGTAGGATACACATTCCACCTGCACAAAAGGCGGGGGTAAACGAAGATGTAATTTCGCAGAATGTGTGGTAAAAGCCTTGTGGTTTCAACTACCGAGACCTGGTCGCTCTGCGTTCTACAAGCTTTTGATGAAATGTCCACCCATCTCCGCCCAATGTGCAAGACCTGGACGATCGAATTGACATGCACGGAGCGCACATTGGCCCTTGGTCTTTCCTGCTCACCTCCATCCACTCCTGACAAAACGATGGGCAGGGATGATGGGCCAGAAAGGAGCAGCTTTTGTCGGGCAATCGCTACTAGGAGGCCATCGCTATTGGGGAGGCCAGGGCTAGTACAGTGTTCCTGTCGTTCAAGTTCCTGTCAGTGTGCCTCTGCAGCTGGGGGCGCGACACCTTCGTTCCTTTTGCTGGATACGCTGGCAAACCTCAGATGGCAAAGGTGAAACAAACCAAAAATATCCAAAAACAACAGTTCTCTCAAATCGGTTCCACATCTGCCTGCCAAGAAGCCGGTAACACGATTTGTGGACGATTTCTTGCTTCCTGAAAGGTTCCAGACGTCTAAAGCATAGAGAAACACCTCTTAACCCCACTAGTAACAAGAGTGCTACTAGTAACAAGGTGCCTTACTAGTAACAAGAAGCTACGAACGTAGCAAAGTGCATCGCGAACGTAACAAGAGACTGATCTTGGTGCTCTCGCCTCGTGTGCCAACACTTCCGGATCGGGTGTGGCATGGGACGGCGCCGCTGAGTGCAAGGAGCCGTGACGACGGCGCTGATGCCTGGGCGCTGCTGATCCGTTAACAGTGCTCCCAGCAGCGATGCCCGTTGCTACCTACTACAGTACCTAGTAGCTTGTTGTTCCTAGTAAGGCCAGGAGCTACTAGTACTGTAGCGTCCTTGCCCCTAGTCTAGTCCAAATAAAGACAAGGTCTGGATTCGTGGAATTTCCTGAATCACAGAAACTTGAATCAGCCCGGCACGGAGCTATTCATGCGTGGTGTGGTGTGGCCACTGTTGCCTGGCCGAGCTGTTGGGTTGCTCTCAGAACAGCCAACATGGGGCATGACCCAAGCAAAAAGGGCTGTGAAACTTGGTCCCTTTCTCATCTTTCTCCTTCGACCCCCTGTTTGTACAAAACAAAAAAGAACAAGGATCGGAAGCACTCTGCCGAGTCGCTGCTGTTGTCACGCTGTGTCTGGAAGGCCTAGCAACCACGCGGACTGACCGAAATGCTCCGCTCGACTCATGGCTGGTAAGTGTTGGTTTTGGAAGATGCGATCTTAAGCTACTAGATGCTACTAGTAACAAAGGGCATCGCTACGAACGGAGAAAGGACGCTACTAGTAGCTCCTGGCCTTACTACTAGGAACATCTAGGAACAAGAAGCCACTAGTAACAAAGGGCATCGCTACTAGGAGCTCAGGAGTCTGCCAGGCTAATCTTCTCGCTGTTAGGGGCATCCTTCAGGCTCACCTCATCGCCTGGCCCGAGAGTCGGCCCCGGATATCAAAGGATACTCGGAGGCCCAAATTGCCAAAGCTAAGTGCCAAACTCGCAGTTGCTTGCAGATTTGGCGCTGGGAAGGCCTAGTGCAGTCAGATCAAATCGTCTTGACACCATTGAAAAGCGAAGGTGTGCAGAAAGCGCAACATGGAGCCTCCAGCGACTCCAGCGGCTGAGTTAGGATCAAAGGATCAGAACCTGCAAATAAACAGGACAACTGTATAAACAAAACCTAGACAAGTGACAAGAAGGCATTCCGGTGGTGGCCTTGGATAGCTAACGGTGTGATATACAATGATATACACCTTTCCACTTTGACGAAGACTTTCCTACACTGCCTGATGAAGGTTCAAGAAGTCAATGTGGCGACTTCATCTACTTCTATTGCCGTGTCCCCGAGCGCACCTTCACCTTCCGGAGCAACGCCTGAATCGTAAAAGACAAACAGGATCAAACAGGCAAGGGGGCTCTGGAGGGCCACGGATGTCTGATTCCATTTCCGCTTTGAGGTCCATGCCCGGAACGGGATCTGGTATTGACCTTTCTCACTGCTCACATCTGCTCGCCGACAACACCCGACACACACAATGCCACTTCAACCAATTTGTCGAACTTTTGCAAAACTGTGCTTCCAACCCTGAGATGCTCTCGGCCGCTGCTTCAGCAGCTGCATTGAGAAGCTCCTCTCTAAAATGCTCCATGTTCTTCTCATATCTTCTCATCTCTCTCTCCACTCCACGACCGAGAACTCTGAAGGCTCAGCGGTCGATCCTCGATTTCGCCCCGGTCGACCTTCCGCAGCAAGGAGTCCTTGGCCTCGGAGGGCCGCCGGTCCCCCCGGTCGCTGCGCCCCCCGGGCGCCGCGACCGCGCGCCGGACCCGGGCCGCCCGGGCCGAGCGGAGCTGCAGCTCCAGGTCGGAGACTTGGCGTACGGCAGCCTCTGCAGCCTCGAGCGGACGGAGACGAATTGGTTCAGAGAGTGTTCATGTGACACCTGACCTAAGTGGCGAAGTGGTGAGATCAAATCACCCAAACTTCTGGCCTTTGGTAATCCGTACACCTACCACGTTCACCCCATGTTCACCTCTTCCGTGTGAGGCCTGCTGCTGCTCTGCTAGAGTGGCCGAGAGCTCCTGGTAGGGCATTCGTGTTGCCAAAATGTCAAGATCCAGTAGGGGGATAGGTTGCGCTTTGCTTTGGTGGTGATTTACCATGATTTACCTCATAAGTCAGTTCACTCTGCTCACTACTCCTTTGCAGTTGAGTCTCGGAGTCTCGTCTTGACCACGTCCATCACCCCGTCCTGGATCTCGGATCGATCTGCCTTGCCATCCAGGGCCTTCATGACCTGCTCAAGTATGTTTGCTTTTCCAGCTTCGGCAAGCCGAGACGTGGAAGAAATGATGGAACTCCAAAAGCCACGGCTGAGATGAAGTCTTTGATCACTGACAACACACACCGAAAACGAACCAAGAAATCCGCAGACTCCCGCAAGTCCATGCAAGTCTCACAGGTCGTGAACATCTTCCGCCACCGAAACCATGCCTCGCGCAGCTCCCCGGAAGGACGCGGCGATGCTGGAGAGCTGCCTGGAGAGGACTGCGCATCCCGGGGAGACGCGCTTGGCTGTGCGCTTCGCAGCAACCGACTGAGCGATGGCCACACCAGCCGCACCTCTCTCTGAGGTCGGTGATGCGGTCCCTTTGGGTGATGAAGCATCAGCCAGGCGCGGAGTAGCATCCTTGGCAAACGAGTGTGTGCTGCACGGTGGCAGGGTGCTGTATACAGCGTAACGGTGTAGTCTGCAACCAGCCAAGGTGCCAAGTCTGCCCAAGCCTTTGGTGCCAGGAGCCCCTAACAGCCTTCTTGTTACTAGTAGTAAGAATGCTCCTAGTAGCGATGCCAGGAGCCCCTAGTAGCGTCCTTCCTCCTACTACCGATGCCCTTTGTTCCTAGTAGCGTCCTCTTGCTCCTAGTCCTTTCCTTGCGTTGAAACCATGTCTCCCACTCCGGATCCTGAGGCCACGCACCACCTTCGATGTCAAGCTTTCCACGCAAACCATGGCCTTGGATCGTCCAAACCCACGATCAAAAAGGCACAGTATAGAGACTACACCGCACGTGGTGTCGAACGTATTCCAACACCAACCAGCAAATGCACACAATCCGACATGGCGGGGTGCGAGAGTTGAGAAGCTCAGCCCAGGACATTTTGCAGGTCACGTTCAAGCTGGTCCATCTTCTCCACCCTGGCCTCGTAGCAGTGGGGCTGCAGCGGAACTCCACCAGAAAACACAATTTGAGGGGTTCATCCCCAAGATTGAGACATCTTATCACCTGGCCTCCAAATCTCTTCTGAAGGCGGCGCGGTCATTCTCCAGGCTGAAGTGCAACCTCGTTCAGCTCTTTGAGCAAGAACATTCCAGCCCCACTTGTACAACTCATAATCACAAGTCATATATGTAATTATACACTCATTAATTACGACTGCTCCAAAGTCGTTTTGAGAACATCTCATCATTCTGCCATGTTTCACTCGCAAGCACACTTGTTACGCATCAACGGCCCAGTGACTCCTGTTGGAGCCGCTCCACCATACCAAACAGCTCTGTCACCTGCCGCCGCTCGGCCTGGCGGCTTCGCGGCCGCTTTGCCGCTCCGCTCCGCTCGGCGCGCCGTTCGTTGAGCCCGGCACCTTCTGATTCATGGCCTCCTTGAGCCCAGACAGGTCGGGGATGTCCTCGGCACTGTCCGTCTCCACCAGTCACGAGTCGAAACGGTTTGCTCCGGGGTCCAGCAGAATCCGCTGTCCTTGGTCTCAGTCTTCTTTTCAAGGCTTTGCTCCAACACCTGGACCTTCACTCTTAGCTCGCCTCAGTTCAGGTGAGCGAACCACTGACCCCTTTGACCGTTGATTCAAACACTGTCGATTGGTCCTTTCCCAAGTCCTGTCTCCTCATGCCGTTGGGCCAAGGCTGACACTCAGCAATGCGAAATCCTGATCAGCTCTGGAGCGGCAAACTGCCGTGGATCCAGGTTCAAACTCTGACACAAACGCTCTTCCACAAATGGGCACAGTAGACTGCAGCAAATGCCAAAGATCAGATTTGCACAACACGAACTAAGTCTCTGGCAACCTTTCCATCCAGGTTCGCCCTACAAGGTCACGACGGCACACTGGTGCCCCCCTAATGTGACACCCGCTTGGGAGAAACCATCTTTGGAGATGGTTTGTATAGTAGCGTCAGCGTCCTTGCTCCGTTCCCGTTCGTAGCGATGCCCTTTGCTCCTAGTAGCTTCTTGCGCCTAGTAGTAAGGCCAGGAGCCCCGTTCGTAGCACCCTTGCTCAAATGGTTTCAAGATGTTCCGCGTGGCACCTGAGGCTGTGGATCGATGAAGCAGCTTCACGGAACTCCTGCGGTGAGGAGACTCGTCCTCTGTCAGGATCATAGCAGTCCACCTCCCCCCGCCTGCGCGGGCGCTTTCTGGGTGAGTTGGGACTGGACCCTGTTCAGCCTTAAAGATCAAGGGAATCAAACTTCTATACCACAATGGGTGAAGCTTCTGGACAGCTTTCCGTTGAAGGTCGTCTTCACAACCGGGAACAAGCTGGGACACACACGCCGCTTGCAAATCTTCTGCCACGGGCCTGGTGAAAAGGGCAAAGAAACGGATTCAGGGGGAGCCCTCCCCTCGCCATGACAAAAAGAACTGGTCCATGGGCTAAGGGCCAAGCACATCAACCTTAAGGTCCAACCTTAACAGCCGAGTTCACTAGGCGACCGATCAACGAGAGAGTTCAAAGCCAGCAACTTCCCTGCGGCATCTCCTCAGCCCCGTACTTCAACTGCATGTCCCGTAAAATGCTGCGGATTTCCTGCAAAGGCTGTGGCCCAACCTGGCCGTGGTCGACAGACACCAGAACGATCAAACAAGAGGGGCTGTATTTTATACCGTCCTCCCCACACAACAAACAAGAAGGAGGGTTAGGTTAGACAGCAAAGGTGGAGATGCATTCCAAACATATTGTGTCATATTCATTGCCATTCAATCAGATGCCACAGTGGGTCATGTGAACCCCAGAATGGCGCAAGGAAGGCTTTCAGGGCGACAGCCGTCTGCAACTCCTGGACAAGTGCGGAGTTCTCTCAGGGGTGCGGAACACGGCCTCGGGGCTTGATCGACTCTCCAGCCTGGGGGTGTCAAAGAAATCCCTTGTGGCACCTGAAGAATGGCTCCATCTCATGCATCTCAACGGGGATTCTCCCGTTCTTCAAGCTCGCTGAGCCATAAAGGGGTGACTGGTCCATTGGGTTTCATAGGGTTTATTGGGTCATGGCACCAGACCGACCGGTTGACCAGCACCTGGAAGGTCAACCCACAGATCAGACTGACATAGCTTCGAGCGTGACTTTCGTAGCCATGACCTCCAACCGGTCAAACTTGCGATGGCCTCCACTTAGTAGTGTAAGTGTAACTTCTTGCTCCTAGTAGTGTTTCGGGTTTGGACATGTTTGGACTCGACCCCATCCCCGGAGATCAGAGTTGCGTCGACGCCGTCCTTGGTGGCATTGGCCAAGGCTTCCAGGTCACGGACGTCCTCACACACCACCAAAACTTTTAAGGAAAACAACGAGAACATCACCAAAGTGCTTCACATTAGGTCTTCACTCAAATCCGTTGGAGTTCTGATGGAGTTCTGAATATGGCATGTCATTGGTTGTTTTTTCGATATATTTAAACCCTTTCGCCGGTGACTTGTGAGGTTCTGTGACCCGGCTCAGCGACCTGGAGCTTGTCCAAGGCCCAAGCAACTTTGCTGGAGAGGATGTCATGGAGCTTCTGAAACCTCGAGCAAGTTCCCGTCACAAGGCCATGCACCCAGAGACTAAGCAAGCCTCTTCCATCTGACAAAAACATGCACACCGTGGACCAGCTATGCCTGAAAAAGATCACCTCTTTTCAAGATTCCCACTGTGAGCGGCTCTTGCTGAGGTGCTCAGACATTCGCTGAGCCTGGGCAAAGAAAGATCAACCTTTTCACACCAGGCACTGTGTGGCCATGTCCATTCTTGAAACAACTTGACTTGATTAGTCTTGAGTCTCAGGCATGTCCCGGCAGGTTGTGCATCTCCAACCTTTGAAGCCGCCCCTGCGATTCCTGCGGAGAAGGGAGGACTGAGGACTCATATGACCTGGTTTTACTTGGCAGTCCAATCTGAAATGGACTGTGGTGCATGGCATCTTTAGGGCCAAAAAGAAAGCAGCGTCGACAATCTCCTGCACGGCTTTCTCCATCTGCGACACCTCCCCAGCTTGACACCAATCATTCTAGTGGCGATGGCCTCCACCCTAAGAGCGATGGCCTCCAACCTAAAACCTAATAGCAATGGCCTTCAACCTAATAGCGATGGCCTTCAACCTACTAGCGATGGCCTCCAACCTGCTAGCGATGGCCTCCAACCTAATCGCAAGTGACACTCAACGCAACGTGTTGAGCACATGATTCGATGCACCTGCCCTTGCAGCTTCGACGTCGATGCCAACACTCTATTTAGGCTGCTTTGGTCAGCCTGGAAAACGATGCGGCTTACGAGCACTCCGGCAAGCATGAGTGCTTGTGGTGCGTGTGGGCCTGCTTGGGCATGCTCAACCGACTTCCAAAAAGCAAGTTACCAAAAAAACAAACACGCTGGCCTTGGTCTCTCCTTGCTTGCAGGCGATTTCAACGCTTCGCACATGTTCCTCCAGTGCCTCGAGTACAATGGGCAAAAAGAACCGCAAGCCAAAAGTCGCAACTTCCCCATTCCGAGCTATACATTTTGCGATGTGTCATGCTTCTGCCAGGCCGCTGATTGGTCTGCCTTCCAAGAGATGGTAGACTCCAAACTCCGCAATTGTGCCTCACAATCCAAGCTCTGAAACCCAAAACTTGACCTGTTTCTGCAATTTCAGTGACCAGACGGAGTCCTTTTTCGAGCTCAAGCGGCTAATATGGACATTGTAGGGTGAAACATGCTGTGTTCCGGGCAGAGTTACCCAGATCCACACTCAAGGGCAATGGTTGCAGCTCGCCGGCGGAAGGAAAGCAGTGTCATGCTGGAGGCTATATATTTACAGTGGCTTGTGGTGGCTTATATACTGCACATGTCCATATCATAATTACGCAGGTGTGTACGGCAAGAGGGGGATACGTATCATCTACTCGCTTCCCACACAGGGTTTCTTGATGTTTTCTGTTGTGATCACTTCACACCGGACCCAACTCTCAGGGCTGCCAGTCCTTGGGCCATCGCACCAGAGTCCGGTTGACCGGACTAGGCTGCTCAAGTAGTGCCCGTAGCTTCTTGTTACTAGTAGTACGGTGCCTTCTTACTATCAAGTAGCTTTATTGTTACTAGTAGGAATGCCAGAAGCTACTAGTAGCTTCTTGTTACTAGTGCCAAGATGTGCCAAGGATCGTGAAGTCCGTCACATCCCTTTGCCCCACCCTTTTTTCATGAACATCGGCTGCCAAATGTTCATGCCTTTGCCCTTTCCTGCCACACATCACGGCAAGGGCAAAGTTACGAAGGCCAGCGGAGAAAAAGGCGACGCGGCAACTTCCAAACACAGAACACTCTAGAAGTCACAGAAGTCACAGGTGCAGTGTTAAAACGAATATATATATATAGTTATACATAAATGCTAAGTGGTCCTTTCATGCCTTTCATCATGCCACCCCACATGCCTTGGTTGCTGGGCCCATCCCATGTTCTTTGCTAAGGGCGAAGGCTTCTTTCGTGGGTCTTGCGACTAGTTCTAAGGACCAGGCCCATGGGGTCCATCATTTGGCCCGCTTGCCCTAGAAGCTGCACTTCTTTCGCCTCAGGTCTGTTTTTTCCCACATAGTTACAGTTCCGAGTCTACTGATTGTCTGTTCTAGCATGTCAAAGGCTGGTTCCTCTGTCAAGGGTGAAAAGAAGCAAGCCCGGAGCATGTGCAGGGCAGTTCCAGCAAACCCAAGACTTTCCAGAGCTTCTTGGTAATTAAGATTAATTAAGGATTAGGGCACTTCAGCATCTAAGCAACAAAATGTACTGCGAACCTCAGGTGGATCTGGATTTCACCGAGCCGCGCTAGGACCTTTTGCCTCCATGGCAACTTTGAACCTTGGCGAAAACATGGTAACAGGATGTCACGTCTTGTCAAAACAAATGCATCAAGGAAAACTCATCAAGGACGAGGGTATCACTACTAGGAGCAAGGACGCTACTAGGGACTCCTGGCCTTTCTACTAGTAACAATAAAGCTACTAGTAGCGAGGGGCATCGCTACTAGGAGCAAGGACGCTACTAGGGGCTCCTGGCCTTACTGCTAGTAACAATAAAGCTACTACTACTACTACTACTACTACTACAGTAGTAGCAAAGGACGCTACTATTTTTCGAATGGAAATCTCATCAATCTGAAAGCTTCCTTTCGGCTCATGTCAATCTGATTTGATCGGAATGAGTCGTTCGTCAAATCCCGTTGTGCCGAGCGGCTTGCACTGACTACCTCCTGGGCCGTGGCCGTAGGGCAGTTCTGTCTTCAGCACGAAGACATCCTGACAAGCGATGGCCACGCCAATGCGATGCCCTTGTTACTAGTAGCGATGGCCACGCCAATGCATGTTGGAGCCTCTTGGGAGCCTCTGATGACGTATCCCAAGAGTTGCTCGTTGTTCCACGAAGGCTCTGAACGTTGCGTTGGACAAACAGGAGTCATTTGGCACGTGTCCTGATCTGGAAAAGCTTCACAGGTGATGAAGCCATACCTGAGCTGGTTTCAACAAGACTTCTGTGACTAAGTGACTAGGTCCTAGGTGTCTTGGCGAACTGCCTGCAAGTCCAAATGTCGAACATGCGAGAGAAAAAACAGCTTAAGGTCCCGATGTTGTCGCCGACTGCATTGCATGCCAAGATGCCCTTTCCTTAGTGATGAAAAGCAAGACCCGGCCACTCTGAACAGACTTTTTGACATCAAGCGGTCAATGCTAAACGTCAAAAGGTCAAGCTAAGTGTCATAGGGTTGAAGGACTTGATTTCTCCAAAATAGCAGGCCTCTTCCGGTGAGACAATGACTGTCACGTTCTCAGCTTGCGATCCTTTCTCTGTCCTTACTGCATTCGGCTTGCAGAAGACAAGCAAAAGGTTCACACAATTTTTTCACTAGTATACCAATTAACTGGGGCAGCAAAAACGGGAAGAACATGGAAGAAGCAGCCGAGACCGGCCCAAACCAAGCATCTCCTTGACCGTGAGCTGGAGGCTCGTCCCCTTGTCAACGCAAAGGCCTTTTAAGTCGCCCTTGTGGAGGAAAACGTCTTGCCCGTTGCACTCAACGAAACCCCACCCCTGGCACCGCAGAAAGCACGGACCGATTGACATCTGTTACTACATGGGACACCTTGCGTTCGCGGCCGAGACAACAAAGTGATATTGACTAATTACATGGCCGTGACACACTCAGCACATCTACTTGGCCTTGTGAGGGTTGAATGACTTGATCACTCCGGTGACGGCCATGGCTTTAACCTATCCTTCTACCAAGTCCTTGACCAAAACTGCCTCGGGAAAACCGCGACGCTGTCGCTTGCGGCGTCACTTCCGTCACTTCAAAATGCCAATCAACGAATCATCCGTGTGGAAAGAATCCCCCATGTGCAGTGGCTCAAAGCACAAAAATCCGTCAAAGCAAAGGATCAAGGATCAAAATGGATCACGGGGATGAGCCTGCATCGTGGCCTGGGCCGTTCAAACCCCGGGCAAACGACTGCACATACTGATGCCGAGTTGGCCCAACTCCATGAATTGAGAAGGAGGCCAGAGCAGATTGGCTTGCCTTCTGCATAAGCTGCTGACGCTGCCTTAGCCACTGGTGACTGTGCATGTCATGATCAAAGCTTTCCGTCGTAGACTCTGTAGCTGTTGCTTCTTGGCCATGGACTCCTGCATCTCCTTGCGCATGCTTTGAATACCTGCCGAGCGAATCCGTGGCCACATGGCCACACTGCCACACCGGACACACTTCAAGCCGGATGCGCTGAGCCATCGAACTCTCTCTCCCTCTCTCTCTGGCGCCCTCGCTCTGAACTGTTTTGCTGCTCTGCTCGGTCGCCTGACCAACGGTCTTAAGTGCAAAAGATCAAAAAGGATGAACATACCCAGTGCAGGCTAAATCAACCCATTGACATCTGACATGGTTATATGAGTCAGTCTTCCAATTGGCAACCCAATGAGCCCATCTTCCGAAGACAACGCTATCGCTATCGCTCGACAACCGGCCTCCGCCGCCCGCAAATTGGAAAGCAGCATCTGAAGCTGGGATGCAGTGCTTCGCAGCTCAGCCACCTAAGATCAGCTCAACGGTCGCTTCGCCCGCCCCACGCGCCACAGGCAGACGGCGGTCGGTGCGCTCGACGACCTCTCGGGGGTCCGGCGGGTGTGTCTTTCAGTGCCATCACCAGGCTCGCCTGGCGGCACCGAGCTGAACACGTCAAGGAGCCTTTTACTACTAGCGTCCGATCGCTCCATTCGTAGTAAGGCCGGGAGCCCCTAGTAGTGTCCTTTCGGCTAAATAGTTCCAAGAATGTCCGCTTTTGAAAGCCAAGGCGCTGAGGGGCTTCTTGCAAGCGTGACCTGCCGCATGCGTCTGTAAAGCAATGATTATTGTGACGACCTTGAGAACTGACTGACAACCGATGTTCAAACTGTCCTGCTAGCATGAGCACAGCATTCACCCTGTCAGTCGTTTTTGGTCTTCCACACCTCCTTGGTCTCCGGTGGCAGCGAATCTGCAGGCAAAAAAAGCATGCAACGCTTTGGCACATCGGCCTTCTCGCACATCGCTCACATCGTCCCTGCCTGCAGCGGCGTCATCCAAGACCTGCACACCAAGAGACACCAAGCCATCAAGCTCTGAGGAGTCACGTGGTTCCGTCGACGACTCATTGGACTTCTTGGATGCAAAACGCCGGCCAGTGCTCGCCGTGCCTTTGCAAGGGCAGCTTGGAGCTCGGAGAGTAGACCAGGCAGGTCTTCCTGGATAGCTTCAAGCCACAGTGCCTCCCTCTTCTGTCTGTGGTTTCATCCGTTTATAGTAGAAGCTGAACACAAACCCCAAATAACCCTAAGCACCTAGGGCCTAGGGGTAGAAGGCTCCAACCGAATCCGGCAAACATTTTTTTTGCCCATGCATCATGACACTCTTCCTCAGTCTGGCCACTCCTCAACTGCGAAAAGTCCAAGCTCCAACAACAAGTCCAGAAGGCCGGGCGACCATGGCAACACTTGCCGAACCTGAGTCAGCTGAGTGTTCTCTCTCTCTCTCTCTCTCTCTTTCTCTCTGCATGCGTGTGGCTTACTGCGTAAGAAGAAACCGCCTTAAGCGCCAAGTGCCCGAAAGGTCCTCCCTTTTGGGGAGTACTTGGGAGACCTGACAGCTGAGGCATTGACAGCCATCTCTTGTGTCAGTTGACTGAAGGCACCAGATGAAGCCACTCCTACCAGGTCTACAGCTCCATCACTGAGAGAAAAAATGACGGAAACATGATCCTTCTTGGAATACCGGGTCGTGGCAGGGGTGATAGATTGTGAAAACAACTGTTTACAATATCAATGTCCTGGTCTCAAACCTCATTACAAAATCAAAAAACCAACCAACCAAAACTACAGAATCAATACACTCAATGTCGACAAACACATCAAAACTTACTACGAAATCTAGAGACCCAGGGCAGCCCCCAACACATTTCTGAAAAGAAACAGGTTTACAAAATTGCATCCTTTACATGCAAAACAACATGCTTTGTACAGAATCATTATTTTCCAACTATAATCTACAAATGCGCACTGTCTACATTCAAACCATTTCAAACCCGTTCAGAAGATTTACAGTAATAGCGCTTAATAGCCCATAGATGCCCATCTCTTATATTCTCGTATAGCTATCATCTGGTAGTATGTGTTTCTTATTGTTTCTTCATGTTTCTTCCTAAGCTTGAGATATTGATTCCATAAGCTTGAGATAGCTTGAGCATGTCTGTGTAGCAACGCTCAAACGATGTCTTTTCAAAATCAATATCCTCAGGTAAAGTCTCTTCATAATCACCCCCCCTACTTGCAAAAGCCAGATTGAAAAGTTGCTTATCTAAACCATCTCTGATTCTACAGAATCCATGACCTCACCTTCCCCTCCAGACTCATATCAATTGTTTACAAAATTGCATCCTTGGCATACCCTAAACAAATCAAATGTTAGCTGTACAACATTTTTCCGCTGTACGCACCCAGGCCCCCAATGAAAAATGCACCCATGGGGCCCATGGGGCCATGACCACCTCTCCAGCAGCATGAGACCAGCCTCTCCGCTTTGACGCGTCAGGCCAGGTGCAGAAGGCATCCTTTCAAACGGTCGACCACAAGACCCCAAAGCGTCAACGTCTTGAACCCAAGCCCTCTCTTCACATAGCACTCCCTGTGTAAGGTGGTCGAGGTTGAGAATGTTGAGAATGGATACACCTCTTGAACGACCAAACATTTGACTGCCTCCATAGCCCACCCATGCTTGCAACAAAGATTGCAGCCCCAAATGTGGCCCATGCCTCGCGATGCTGGAGGCTCATGACCTTCTGCAAAAGCTTCCTGCAAGGACTAGCATCAACAAGAGTCACCATAAGCGACCGCAGCGCACCGAAGCGCCCCCCGAGCGCCCGGCCAATTCACGGTGAGCCAGGACTTCGTGCCGTGGTGAAAGAGCAGGACGTGGCCCTTTCCTGGCGAATGCTGAGCGCAGCGCCCAAGCAGCGAACAGACATCTCTTGGGAGAAATGAAAAAATACGCAATAAGTGTATTTCATCTATAATATCTATATTGAATCATGTATTTAAGCTATATGTACGTGCATATATATATATGTGATTCTATGTGTATGTATACATATATATATATACAATAAACGTATATATTTGTTGTCCCAAGAGGCTCCAATACCCCTCCCCATAGATTGGTCTGAAAAACAAGGACAAAGGTCCCCAACGTCCTGCCATGTCCTGCCTCTTCGCCGCACGTAGGGCAATTGCCGACCACTGGTGGAAAGCACTCCTGGGAAAGTGGGCATGCACGAGTCGAAGAAGCTTCGGAATCTGTGGCGGTTGGCACGGTTGATCGAACAAAAACTCACTGGCTGGATGGCACATCGAACGAAAGTTGGCCGCGTGGTTGGCCGCGTTTGGTCATCGGTCCCATGTTGGCCAAGTCGTGGTAGCCGTTGGGCACGGGGCAGGTGCGCAGCAACAAGCTTGGAGCACCAGGCAGCTCTGGCAACTGCCACCTGAGTTGCTGGGTGCAGCAGGGACATCTGAAAAAAAAACTGGGGTGAGGAAGAAATCCCTGAAGCAATGTCTAAGCATGCGAAATCTCACAAATTCAAGCCTCAGCTTAACCATTCATTTATCTCGCAAAACAAGCCCCTCTTGCCAAGGATCATCGTCAGGCCAAATATATCAAGTAGCAGCAAGAGGCTGCCATTCCTCAGCACGGGATCACGAATAAAATGATTCGAGCCGCTTCTAAGACGGAATTGGAATGAATTGGACAACATGACGCACGATGACACGAGACAGAAACTCAAGAAGGGTTGTAATCGGATGTAATCGGCAGATGTCAATCACAATGAAAATCAAGACTCTTAACAAGCTACTAGGGGCTCCTGACCTTACTACTAGGTGCAAGGATGCTACTAGGGGCTCCTGGCATCGCTACTAGCAGCAAGAAGCTACTAGTATCATTTCGAATCAAGACTCTTGGCCAATTGCAACTTCCCTGGACAGGCTTTCAGCACCAGGGGCGGTGAACGGAGCCGCCCGGACCTCGCGTGGTCTGTTGGGCGTGGCGCGCTGCGCGGTGGGCGCTGCGTGAGACCCGCACCAATCGAGGGTCCTCCGTCCTCCAGTCCGAAGAGGGGCTCGTCCAAAGTCATTCGATGGTCCTCAAAGATGGTCCTCCATGGTATCCTTCAAAGTTCTTCAAAGATGTGATCGAGTTCCTCCTTACCTCCTTTGGCTAAGTGGCTGGGATGCCAAGATGAGCAGTTGCCACCTTGTGCTCTGGACGGCACTTTCGACCACGAGCACCACCGAGGGTCCTCACTCAAACGAGGTGTGCCAAAGGTCTTCAAACATAAACATTTCCAGATGTAAGTCACAGCTGAGGAGTAAGGGGCAATGAGAAGAAAGAGTTGTGAAGGCACAGTTCCATAGAAAATCATTCCAGCTAGAAAGGAGAAGAACGTCCTATGTGCCTTGATGTGCCGCCTTTGTGCCTGTGCCTAGATGTCCCTAGAAGTCAGGTCCTTGGGTCCAAGTAAAAAGAGAGTGGAAGCGTGGAGCACTTCAGAACTCCTAGAGCCCCCCTTTTTGGTAAATCTTCTGTTGGGACTTGTCAGGGCTGAAGGGACGACTTCGGACCGACTCGCCGACCGACTCGCCAACCCACTCCGACCTTGGAGCTTTGCCAGGACCACCCGCTCCACCGAGATTTGCCACAGCCCGCCCTCCGACTTGGAAGAGACTCTGCACGAACCCGAGGTGGGCTCCTCAGCGGCATGCGGCAGCAAGAAGTAGTGATGTGATGATGACAGCCCTTCCTAGAAGTTGCAATGCAAGTGGAAGTCCCTCCGGCAAGTGGCAATTCTCAAGATGCGGCGATCGACACCGTCTGCAGGCATGTTGTCGTCCTCAGGGTCAGTATCACGGCCAGTGGCTCAGAAACCGAAAAATGGCTGGCTAAACACCCCTTTGGGTCCTCGATTGACCATGCGAATGTTGGTGGCGAAGGAGAACACGTCTTGGGCATCGTTCTTGAATGCCACGATTTCAAGAGCTTCTGCCGTTCACAGCAGCTGTTGACATCCAGGACCTTGTTTACAGATGGCCGTATACCACCGTGTCCAAGCTGTCCCAGTTGCCCTTCCTTCGAGGACCACTCCAGGCCTTCCAGGGAGCGTCGAAGCTCAGGATCTTCAACAAAGTATCTCGAGTTTGGACTCTGAGCCGAAAGACGTCCTAGCTCAGCTGGAACCTTTAGGCTGTGAGTGGTGGGCAAATCCCAGGAAGGTTGTGTGATGTGCAAATGTCTTTGTGATCGCCACCGAAGAACTTCATCCAACGTCCATGGAGTGAATCCGGGCAGGATTCGCTTCCAAGAGATGGAGATAGATCCCACTCCTCCACTTGAAGAATAGACTAAGGCTGATGCATCTGCAGTCCATGCGATGTCGGTGATAAAGCAGTTTTCATCAACGAGGTCCTTCAGAATCAAGATTGGAACTGGATGACTTGAGAGCCACAGGGAGAGCATGCCATCCATACAGCCGAGGGCCAAAACCACTGCCAGCTCCTCTGCGCCTTTGGCAACTTTGGCAAAGACTATGGGACAAAAGCGCACGACTGCCACATGCTTTTTGTGACCACGGTAGAGCTTGGGAGTCTTCCACGGCGCTGTGAAGAGCACCGAATAGAATCGGCATGTGCTCAAGGGGCTCTTCTTGTGCTCACCGAAGGGAAACACGACTGACTCCCCTAAGGGATCCCAACAAGGGCGTCGAAAGTTCACGGCACTCATCTGCCCGGGCTTCGCCCATGGCGCCTGGTTGATGGGCACCTCTTCCCATCCGCTGGCGCCTCCGGCTCCTCCGGCTCGACCTCGGTCGTTCTCCTCGGGGCTTTGGTAGAGCATGGCTGCTAGCTGCTTCCCGTCACTCATACAAGCGAGAAACTGGCCCAGCGGATCAAAGGCAACGCCTTTGATGTAACCACTTTCAGAGCTTTCAGGGCGCAGGATAGCTGTGAGCTCCACACGAGGCACACTCCAGAGTCGTACACTTCCATCGTGCGAGCAGGAGGCTAAGGTGAAATCCGGATGAAGCTTGGGGTGCCAGGACACCTCAGCTTCACCAAACTACTGAAGCTCGCAGTGGCGAGCTTAGCATGTGAAGTACCTGATACATGTCAAGCACCTTTCACTTGTATGAGAAGGTCGTGTGCTGATTCATCGCGCACTTAATGCGCACGTCGCCAAGACACATCACACACTTCGCCCTGATGCCCCCGCAGCAAGCAATGCCGGTGCCATGGCTCTGGAGCCTTGAGGTCCTGCACGATGCGACGTGACACAGCGACCCACCTTCGACCTGAAGGGTCCTTTTAGAGCGTTCTCGCCCCTCCCTATCCTCCCTATGTACATCTCCCCACCGCTCTCCTCCATATCCCTAGCCGCCCTGGCCATTTCACATCGTCTTGCCATCTCTACCTATCTCTACTCTTCTTTATCTTGCTCCGTCTTGTCTCTGAGTCTGCGCATAAGTCTCAGGTTCTCCTGCAACAAATGCAGGTTGCCCACACCCGGTGCCCATACCAGCAGCGCCGCCTGGTTCGACACTGTCACCAGTCTCCAAGCAGTGTGCTCTTCACAAGCAGTATATAACGCTCTTAAATGTATGTGTATAACTATAAGTCTTACTTGTGAAAGAGACTTACTTGACCTGCTGTAAGCTCACGCCTCAGCATCGCAGGACGCAATCATCCGGCCATCTGGAGCCCACCGGGCACAATTCACAGCCGCCTCGTGCTTCACCGTGCATAGCCATCTGGGGCTGACGGTATCACTTTGTGAAGGGCTTGGCAATGGCAAAGCCCAGATCTTTACGCATCCATCTTGACCGGCTGTGACCAATTTCCAAGTTGGCACCTCCTTCTGCTCCAGAGTCACCAAGGCGAAATCAACCTCGACGTCCCAACTGCGAAGGTATTTTCTTGTCTGTGCAAGCTTTGACCATCACGTGCGTTGGTTTTGGGGATGGTCTAGTGGGTCGACCAACCAAATGCTTAAATTGATGCAAGGATCCGAAAGGATGGCCCGAGAAGAACCCAAGCTCTGCAGCTTCTCCAGCCGCAGCTCGTAGCCATCGTAGCCATCGTGGCCGAACGATGGCTGTGGCTCCTCTGGCTCCTCTGGCTCCTCCTCTTCAATGAGCACCTTCCGAAACTATGGCTCAAATACCGGAATCCATAAATCTAAATTAAAGGTTATAGAGGGGGGCCCAGCTGTGCAGGGAATAAAACACTCGTGCCTGAACTGTCTGAGGCAACTTCTTCTCAGGGCTTGCACCTCTGGCTGCAACAATCCGAGGTTCCAAACAAGCCTTGAATAAGACGGTTCACACTGATAACTATGATAACCTGTCTCCCAGTCGTCCCCATTACACTATATAGATAGCATTCTCAGCTCTTCTTCTCATAGCATTGCATTCAGGACAGTGCATGCACTAAGAACCCAACCACTTCGTCTGCCTCGTCAGTTGCAGTCAACTCACATGCTCAATGCGTCTTGGCAAACACTGCCCTCAGCTGAAATGGCCAATGCGGCGTTCTGTGCCAAGGTGCGCTTGAGCAACGTCTCTCGCTGGAGACTCTCATCTTCAGCCATTGCATATGGCGAAGCGCCCGCTCAGTCGATATGGCTCGGCTCCATGTTTCAGAGTGGACAACCAACTTCATGAGGAAGTGACAATGGGTGACACAAAAAAGAAGTCGTGCTGTGACTCCTGTGGATGTTTGTCAAGCATAGCTGGACGTCCTGTGCGTGGGTGATTGATATCTAATTTTGATTGTTCTTACTTAGCACTCCATGACACCCGCGTGGTGGTCGTCGTGTTGACCTTCGGCACAGTGTCTGTAAATTGATTGAAGTAGTAGTGCACAAAGGCTTCCAGAAGAAAGAGCAAGTCAATTTAGAAGCAAGAACCCTTTCAAGTGAACGCATGTCAAAGCTCAAAACTTGTCCACCTCTTCAATCCTCTTCACGGACAGGGATGCGCAATAGTGTAACAGTAAGGCAGTAAGGCGCAACGCATGGCCTGCGGCTTCCGCCTTCAAAGCCACCTCCTTTTGCAGCATCACCTGCCTGAGCAACGCAACGCCAACGAAGAAGCCGGTCAGCTGCAAGTAGCGAAGCAGTGCAAAGGGTGTCATGAACTTAGGCTGAACTTTGGGGCAAAATTGGGCCGGTGGGCCACGGATAAAACATACTCATGCGCATCGGCCTTCTGGCTTTGTGTCTGGGGCTCTGGCGTTTTCTCAAGGGTACTTAGCCGCGACTCATACCCCCATTCTTGTGCCTGGGTCAAACAGAGAGTCATGACGTGTAACAAGGCTTGTTGAGCTTGGTGCCATTGAGCCACTGAACAGAAGACAAACGAGACAAACACGGGCAAGGAATGAATTCGTGAATCAGCGAGTGACTTGAAAACAACTTGCCACTCTTTGCCCCTTTTGCCAGTGGCTTGGCATCTTTTGATTAAGATGGCATGACATCGGGATGCACGCAGCACGCCGGCAAAACGTCATAGGCAGATGCAAGTAAATGAGGTCCCAGCCAACTCCGACATCATTGGCTTGATCTCAGGATCAACTCCGCACAAGCCAAGCCGAGCCAAGTTGAGCCAACACGTTACCAGTCTGACGGTCTGATGGCTCTGTTCCCTTATCTCAGAAGTTGACCGCCGACATCAGCGCCTGCTGGTTCACCTCAGTGCGAAATCCAAGCCACGAAAAGGAAAAGGAGCTCGGAGCTCCCGCTGAGCCATGCACTGAGAAGTGGCAGTTCACCAAGTCGCTGGAATCCGCCATGTTGCTTCACCAAGACCACACGGAATTCATCAGAACATGCATGGAAAAACGGAAAAGGGAAGCCCCGCTGAAGGAATCCTACGGGAAGCAGGTGAGCTTAGGAATTTCTGGTCAATTATAATGGCGTTTTTGATTCGGAATCGAAGCATCGGCCTTATTTCACTGCTTTTTGTGCAAACCTCCAGCGCTTGTTGAAGGAAGGATGCATTCGTTTGAAGGAAGTGGTTGCTCTCTCTGGGCCTGATGCTAGCCAGTCCAAACTCTAGAAGGCACCAAGTCAGCAAAGTTGGTCAGCCGGCAGCCACTGGGATGAACAGCTTGAAACTTCGGCCCTTTTAATGCCGCACGGTCACCGACCGAAGTGGCCAGGAAATCTTGTTCCGGGCGAAACCGTGGAAGATCCTTCGGATGTCCAAGATTTCACGCTGATCCAGGTGACACATCAGGTTTGGCCAAGTGAGGCACTAAAGAGGTAAACATCAAGCAGCGTTAAAGGAGCTCCGACGACCTAAGTCCAACGAGAACATGGAAGCCAAAAAGCTGTGAGAGCAAACACCACATCACCCAGCGGTTCCAACCACCTGCGGTTGTGCTCACAGGAACAAATCTGGACGCTCGTACCAAACCAATTTGTCTCATTGGAAAGCATGAACGAGATCGAACGAGCAAGCCCTCTGTGGAACAATGTCGTTCCAAGCAACTTCAAATCGTCAAAAAATCGTGAAAGACGCTTCTAGGAGCAAAGACGCTACTAGGGGCTCCTGGCCTTACTACTAGGAGCAAGAAGCTACTAGGAACAAGGGCATCGCTACTAGGAACAAGGGGACGCTACTAGGGGCATTTGTCAATTCTTTATATACTTCAGTTCCGGCCCTCTGACTGCGACACACAGATGTGCACCCTTCCACCTCCAAAAAGGCCGCCCAAGCTTGCGTTCGACGCTTTCCTGGGTGACCTTAGCAGTGGATGAAGAACGCAACACATGCGGTGAAATCCCATGCGGTGCAATGCACCTGCTCAATCTTTCACCATGCCAAGGATCCAAGTAATTAATGACTAGGTTGGAGGGCATCGCTCTTACGCTGGAGGCCATTAATTAATGACTCTTAGTTCCGGGCAATCGCAGTTGACCAAACCGCTTAGCACGATCCGTGACGTCCTGAACTGGACAAACCGACTCTTCACCAGTGCTTCAATGCTTCAAACCAAACCTAGGTCCGTCAGAACTCCCGCCTGGGCGTCCGACTCGGACAACAATGGCAGGTCCGTCAAGGGAATTCCGTCACAGTTTGCATCTTGAGACTCCGCCTTGGCAATGTAGAGCAGGCCTGCCAGCCAGCAGTTTTGCAGTTTTCCCCACAAGCAATGGAGAAAAAGGATGTTGTTTGCTACACTTTTGGCTTTTTACAGCATGTTCTAGCTGTTTCTTTAAGATGTTTCCAGTTTTCCCAAAAATCCGGTCAACCCACTGGGCCTATCGTTCGGATCAGCTGGAAGAGTGAACCGCCTGCTTTGGTGACCGCCAAGGCAAATTCCTGCGTAGGGATTACCTGAGGCAAGCCGCACGGGTTCATTCTCGAATCGGAATGTTCCGCTCCAACGTTCCGCCGGCACCACCATAAAGAACACGCATACAACAGAAGAAGACAATACAAAAGGCTCTAGGACTTCCCCTTTTTCTTCTATATAACCTCTCTTCGTTGGGAGATAAGCCATAGCTGTCACTGCGCCAACTGCGCCATCACATGTTGGGAGTCAAAACATGCTTTCTTCCACCCCTTTTTGGAGACCAAGCGCCACGTAGTGCGAGACCTCCTCGGTATCCAGTTGGCCTCGATACTCCCACCTTGCCCAAAGGCTCAGCTCGCAAAGCCAGGTGCCCTGCACCGATGCTTGGGTCGCAAAGGCGAAACGTCTTCCGCGCAGAGGCGAAACGAAGCGCCGAGCAGAGGATCCATGAAATACTCTGCGCGTCTATTAGAATACTATTGACTGCAGGTTCACAGGTCAGGTAGCCGCCTGGGAGGTTTGAAACCAAGTGTTGTTGGAACCTGGTTGTCACATGGTGATGCAGAAGACCAACCTGACTGTCAGGACTTACCTGTAGAATCTCGCTCCAAGTGGTCTGGATATAGCAAAACATGGTGCAAGTGGTGACAGGGGGCTTGCGTGCTTTCCTTAATTCCCTTTAGCCTGTTTCCACGTTGGTGGGGCATGAGGACTGCGCAACTACACACGAAACTCGTACGACACATTCGTTCAATATATATATATATATATAAGTGTAAAACTAGCATGGCTATACGAAAGGAGCTCTTTCTTTCTTTCTTTCTTTCTTTCTTCCTTTCTTTCTTTCTTTCTTTCTCTCTCTCTCTCTCTCTCTGCCGATCCCTTCAGGGTCCTCCTCCACCCTGACATAGTCTTTCAGACGAGAGCTCCAATAGATGAGGGACTGGCGAGGAACCGCCGTGGGAATCCTGAAAACAGCAATGGACGCTTCCTTGGAGAAGGTGAATGTGTTCAAATCCCAATATGTGCAGACAAGAGGCACCACCTCTGGGCATTCCCCACGTTCCAAGAAAATCTCCTGCATGGGCGATGCCACCTTCTCCAGCAATACTTTGTCACAAAGCCTTAGCCCGAGCAAGGCAAGATCCGCTAAGAAAACTCCGCAGAGGTTTCATAGCCCAAGCACTTCAGCATGAGCTCCTCATCGATCTCTGTCACATCCGATGGCATCCAGTTCGCTGAAACCAGAATCGGCATATAGATCCTCAATGTGGCTATGACGATACAGATGGATGCACCACCCTCCCCCAGCTAGCAATGCATAAGGGAGGTCGAAACCTTGGAACCACGATGAAACTGTCTCGGAAAAAAAGCTAGCCGCAAGCCGAAGCTCCTACAGCAGCCTCCCAGACCGAAGACGGTCCTCTTTGGAAGTCCTTCCAACACGCTCTCAGCATATTCAATCCGACCAAGGGTCTCTGCATGGAGCTTCACCCGCAAGCCATGAGGCAAATCTTGGAGCATGGGGATATCCTTGGTGTGCAAAGGACTAAGTAAGTAAGGCAGTAAGGGATGTTCTTGCGTCACTATGCTTCACTATGCTTAGCTATGTTTCACTTGATCGTACTGATTGTCGCGGGCATTTAGCATCGAACTGTGTCTGCGGAGGGGCAATTTGAGCCAAGCAGCCCCTTCTTTCAGTGACATTTTGTCCAGAAGGATCCGCAAGCGGCAGAATTTTTGCACTCGACACCACACATCCACAGAGACCGATTTCTGCGTTAAGAATGACTTCATTCGGCTTTCCTGCTTGAAGTGCTCAGTATGGATTTGCCGGAGCTGGTTGACCTTAGCCATGGAAACTTGAATGGGTCGGTCTGGTGACCCTCTTGAAGTAGAAGTGAAACAAGGCAAGAGCCAATTGGCTAGGCCAAAGAGTTTGAGTAGGGGGTGGCTGGGACAACTGCAAGGGTCAGTTGTCCCATGGCTATGTTTGCATAGGCTGTGGTGGGCGGATATCGCTCTGGGTGTGTTCGGACGTCTGAAGGCCTGGCAGGTCAAGGGTTGCCTTTGACAGAACTGGCACTTGGCCACTTCCCCCACCCACGAAAGAAATGCAGCACCAGTTGCAGTGTTGGTCACCCCACTCACCTCGGCCAGTGCGCTGCCGGAAGCGGCTCAGAGCCGAAGCGGCTCTTTCCCCAAGCGGCAAAGGATGAGAAGACAGCCAGGCCGATGAGCACCACAAAAATCGCGTAGATCCGCTCAGGGGCCGTGTTGGGCGCAATGTTGTTCGTGGCCGGCATGAACTGCGTCAGAGACCTCGGTTTAGACGGCGGTCGGTTTAGACAGTTGTCTCATGCAACCCACCATGCAACCAAGCGTCCAGTGCAAAGCCGAGAAGTACTGTGTCAAGAAATCCATATGCTGTAGCTCAGCCTTAACGTAAAAACTCTTCAATCTGCAAAGCCTTCCGTAGCTGTTCAGTCTGCAATCGAGAAACGATTTCAATCCATGTGAGTTCGCCTTCCGCAGCGAACCTGAGCAGCAGAAAAGCATAGCAGTACCCATCCTTACAGCCTCCCCATATCTCCAATCCTGCCGAAGGCCGCCGAACCAGTATTGCTATGGCGTCTGCATGAAATCTGGGCTCAGCAGCAGTGCCAGCCCAAGGAAGGCGCAGGACATGTAGTGATTCAAGGCCAGGACGGCCGCAAGGCTTCCTCATCAAATCAACTAACGGGTCTGGAAGAAGCTTGCAGTGCAGCAGAGCTATCGAGCTATGGATTAACAAACACATCTGAACACGGCACTACACCATCCACATTCCCATGTCCTCGATCTCCCCAAATATGTAGATGGCGCAGCCGCCACACTGACACCATGTGTTGGTGCTGCGATTGTGACCGTGAAACTTCGAGGGGGTCCGTGTGTAGGAGGCTTTTCAGAGGATGTGTCTTGCCAGGATTCGAAGAATATTCATGGTGAGAAGGAAGCTGTCTGTTTTGAAGCGATCAAGGATTTCGGCCTGGGCGGCAGAACGAAGCACTCAAGGTGCTGCCAGGCGTGCGCCAGGACACCGCCAGGTTCGCCATCTTGTGCAGGCGAAGAAGTCGCAAGAACCGCATCAAGCGCAAGGCCTCCGGGCGGACCGCATCCAAGTTCAAGCTATTTTTTCCCGGGGGGTTAGGCGGACGCAGGATAGCGAAAACGCTTCTTCAAGGAAGCTCCCCCTGAGGGCGGGGAAGATCTTCCTTGAAGAAGCGCTCGCACTAATGATTTGGTTCCTAGATTGTTCGGGAAACCTGACCTTGTGAGTGGAACTTTGATTTCAGGTCAGAGGAAAGTTGCACCGAGTGAGGTACAAAAACCCTCCGATTATATACATCTGGCCAACTATATACAGTAATTCACCGAGGTTTTTTCGCACAAGTTGTCTCGCCCAGGTGCGCGAGCCAGGCGAAAGGAGCCCATGGAATCATTGCTGCCGCTCTCGCTTTCAGTGTTGAAGCTCAGCACCACGAAGATCATCACGTCTAAGACCAGTACCTAACAATACCACATGAGAACAGCAAAAGATTTGGCTGAGCAAACATGTGAATGTGCTTGTGCAGCTTAAGCATGGCGAATGGTTCAATTGCTCAAGTTCTTCTATGATCCTCGATCAAAAGCCTCTTGCTTGGCCGCTTGGTCCATGGGAGTTTGCCCCGAGAAGCTTGCGGCCAAAGCACGGTAACATCCAGCCCAAGCCAGCCTTACAGGAATAGATTTTGCAACTCAAATCTTACACTTTCGGATGTGTGTCGCAAACCCCGTGGCCTTGCAGGAAAGTTTTTTTGGGGGATTAGTAGGTGGACATCTGTTCCTGGCCTTTGGCATAATTCCGCGCAATCTCGTGGATCCGCATTTCTAATATTCCCGCACGATCGAAGCCAGTGATGAAGGTCGCTGGCACATCCAGCACCCAGTAGACAAAAATGGCCACAGACACCACCTCGCAACAAGAGCAAGAAAAATGTTACCGGCCTCATCAATCTGGGTCCCGTCACAACCATCGCGGCCGCTTTGCCACTGAGGTGCGTTGATGAGGTTGTCGACCTCCGCGTTGATGTCGAACATCTGCAAAGGAATGAAAATCAGATCCCAACCTGGCAACTTTCAGCGCTGAAAGTCTAGAGGGTGCAAGCATGGTCAAACAATATCAAGCACCCAAAGAAAGTGCAGCCAAGGAACAAATCGCCTGGGGCAAAGTCTGAGAACAAGATTTCTATGGTAGATAAGTAGATAAGGGTAGGTGGTTGAACCCATCTATCTCCGAGCTGTCCATCTATTCCAAGAAAACATCGATGGACTCAACTCCATAGCTACAATCAACTCCATATAATCGACTTCACCAACAACCTCACGCCCGTTCCGAGCTACTAAAAGCCCAAAGAATGTCCATGCCAATCGGGCGTTTCCGTGTGGAGTCAGCGTGATCTTCCGAAAGAGCCACCGCTTATCCTTAGATTTGGTGAGCTGTGCGGAGGGAAACAGGCACAATTGTCGCTGCAGCCTGATGGTTTGAAGCAATGCTAGGGAAACGGAACCGGTCACGTCACATCCATGGAGAGGACTCAGCTGACTGCTGTCACGAGTCAAGCATGGTGTCGCCCAGGGTCAAGGACGGGCGGCGCTTGAACCTTGAATCTCCAAGCCAACCAACTTACTTCAACTGATATACCAGCCCAGAATTTTGTCAAGACTGGCAGTTGCAAGCATTTGACCCGGATCACTATTGTTTGAGCAGTTCTGTCCGGAATAGTTTGAGGCATGTAGCATCGGTCGAGATAGCCCCTTCTGAAGCGCCTTGAATGAAAACTTTGCAGTCCATGGCTCCAAGATTGTCAGCCTCGGTCTCGTATCATCAAAGAGGATAACAAACAGTGCGGAGTTCAGCAGGCGCAAGGATTCAGGCTCCCATGAACGGATGGTTGCAAGCCAATCTGAATTTGTCACTTCAGATATCCAGTGACAAGCATCACACCATTGACTACACATCATTGACTAGTCTCTTTTTAAAACGATACCAACTGTTCTGCTTCAATTACTTTGGGCATTCCAAGGCCTTAAAGAAAGCAGGACATGCCCTGTGCCAAACTGCTAAACAAAGAAAAATGCCATTGGTCTCTTAGCCACTGCGAGGGCTCTGCTACAGGTGGGCGCCGAGATTTGGAGCGCAGGTGCATATAGAGGTCATACCACCGGTCAACAGGTCCAGGCGACAACCTGAGATCTCCCGGCTCCCGGCTCGGGTCAATCGTCCCATGTCGGGCTCACAGAGGTGCACCGAATCTGAAGGACACGCACTGAGGGGTCGCTACTTGGTAGTGGCCACAGTTGATTGACAAGTCCCAATTGTTCAATTGAGACAGGACAGGCATGTAGGAGGAAAGAATGGAAGAACGTGTAGTCGTCTTTTCTCAGAGCGAGGGGCGTTTCTTCCATAAACTTCCCAGGAGCGGAGTCCATCCTTGGCAACCAGCTCAAATAGCTCAAGCATCCGATTTCTCAACACTTGGTTGGAGGCCATCACTCGTGGGTTGGAGGCCATTGCTAGGTGCTTTATGGAGGCCATCGCTATTACTGAGAAGTCTTTATTCTCTTCACCGCTACTAGGAGCAAGGACGCTACTAGGGGCTGGCTCCTGGCCATACTACTAGGGGCAAGGAAGCTACTAGGGGCTCCTGGCGTCGCTACTAGTAGCAAGGACGCTACTAGGAACAAGTGCATCGCTTCTAGTAACAAGTGCCTTACTAGTAGTAACAAGAAGCTACTAGGGGCTCCTGGCCGTACTACTAGCAGCAAGGACGCTACTAGCCCATGAACTTCCTTTTTCTGCTCACCGAGTCCTCGAGTTCCTCCCTGACTCCTGGGGAATGTCACCGAGAGAGGGAGCTTCCGGTGTGGCAGTTCACTTCCCCCCAATGAAAGGGATCACGGTTAATACCAGGCAGCGGGTGCATCAGCATTCAGCATGCAAACTAAGTAGCTACACCTTTTTTCAGCTGTTGATCACCAACTGCGCTTGGCGACAAAATCATCAGTTCTTGTGGACCCCGTTGAAGCAGCTCTTCTTCTTCCTCTACACCTCAGAGGCTGGCAAGCACAAGGACCCCTTAGTGAGAACCAGAAGTGCCATGGAGACAGGGACGAGAGAGGGCCATGAACATCCATACTAGGAACAAGAAGCTACTAGGGGCTCCTGGCATCGCTACTAGGAGCAAGGACGCTACTAGGGGCTCCTGGCCTTACTACTAGGAACAAGAAGCTAGTAACAGGTTATCAATGGACGTTCTCAGACCAGGCACTCAGCCGCTCGCGCGGCACACGCTGCTCGCGAGTCTCCCGGAGCTCATGGATCATGGGCGTCTCGCAGCATCCGCCCTAGCGAGGAGACGCGGACGTTTCGGGACGGAAACTCGGCCCCGAACTAGGCTCCTTTTGAAAAGGTTTTCCTACTGTTGGTGTTAAAGGGGATTTGAGGGGGATAGTTGGGATAGTTAAGTAAGGCGGTCTCGTGAACAGCATGGAGATATCAAAATACCATTTTCTAAGGTGGTTTGCTCCAGATTTCTCTGATATAGTTTTCAGTTTTACCTTCTGCCCTCCCAATCAACACTCTGCCCCTGTCGCTTGGCCCATCGACTTAGGTTTTTCCGGCGCACCTGGACACGAAGTTGAAGATCCTCCAGTACACTCCCATGCGCCGCAAGGACAGCGGACTTCAGCCTTGGCGACCGGACACAGACGCCGGAGACGCCGCTCCGGCGGGTCGACCCGTTGTGACGTTTGGTGCCGAAGGACCCGTCGAGCTGATCGGTCAGGATCTCTTCAAAGGACTGGCGCCCTGCAGAGTCAAAGCTTGGACAAGAAGCCAATGCCGATAGAAACACATCTTTCAGAACGTTCTTTCTTCGCAGAATCTCTGCTTTCACTGAATCTTTCGCAAGAACTTCAACACCGTCTTGCTAGCCTTGGACAAGGCTCATGTTCCTCACTACTACGGCCAAACCGAGAGAGAGGAAGCTCACGGGCCGGCGGTGTGGAATGAAAATCCGCAAAGCAGCATGACTGTAATGTCATCTTCCAGAAAATGCTGAGAAAGCCGCCAAGTCTTTTCGTTAAAAGCATCTCAAAAGTCAGGCTACTCTAAAATGATGTAAACCTAAATGCTCAAGTGTTGTCTCCTACGTTCAGGCTGCACAACATCCGTCACTGATGCATTCGGGCAGTCTGTCTGCACATCTGTGCTGGAGCCGCTGCACGAACCTCGACTGAACCATCATCTAAAAACCCATGACATATTAGAGGCCATCACCATTGCTAGTAGGTTGGGGGCCATGGCTAGTAGGTTGGAGGCCATTGCTATTGGAGGCGATGTCCCGAAATAACTTGCCGCCATTCCAGTACCCATTCCATGTCCCATTCAGTTGAGTCTCGAATCATCGCACCCTTCGGCACTCCGCTTTGTGGTACTTCCACTCCTCTTTCTGACAAACATCTGAGCAGTAGAAGCGCATTTTGCAAGCGCCGCACCGTAGCTCGTCTGCATAGTCGCCACAAAAGCCGCCTGGTCCACTGAGTGGAAAGACATGGTGAGTCCCACAAAGAAAATGAAATAAAGGAAGGAGAAAAGAAATGTCGAGAGAAGAAAATAAATTAAATCTATATACAGGCCACCTTAGTAGTGATAATTACGGAACAATCCTGTAATTATCTCTTGGCCTCAGCCTATCTTGAGGCCCTGCAAGCAACCTCCATCTACTACCAATGAAGCCGGGCTAACAAATGCATCCATGGTGCAGATTCTGGGGCCTCGTGTCAAACTCAAAAGGCAACAGCAAGCTTCGCTGCTTCGCTCATGCTCTGCGTTTGGCCATTGATGTTTTCTCCCTTGGAGGGAAGCCCTTGAGGGCCGTACAGGAGATGCATGCATGCGCATGAGCACCCCAGAGTGAATCGTGCCAATACGGACACCGCTCATCTGGTCCATTGACGGCTGCAGCACAACCTCAGCATCAAGCGCCAGGGTCGACGCGCAGGGGAAGCCGAAGGGGAACCAATTAAAAGGCAGCTCAGCATCAAACCACCGAAGCAGTAGTAGTAGCAGCCGATCCTGAGATAAGAATTCAATTCATTGAACATCAACTTAAATATAACTTAATCATACTTAATCAACTTATACATGAGAAACGGCGAACGGTTTCAAATCTGTTGATGCTTCTAGGACTGTATAATATATATATATATCAAAAACGACTAGCAGCGGTTCAGTTCTCAGATCCCATGAGATCCCAAAGGACTCCTGTGCAACCGAGTCACGCTTCGGGCTCCCCATTGCCTTCGAACCTTGGATCCGATCACCGCTGGCACCGCTGGTCCATCTGATCATCTGGATCCAACCATCCAGTAACGTATAATGGCGGTTTTGTTCGACTTTTGTTGGCATTCAGTAACTTTGCCCATCCCACCATAGATATCGTACCATCATGTACCATCCATTCTTTCTGCTTGCTTCAGTGTGATTTGCGGCCTTCCAAGGCACATCCGCGTCAGCACTCGATCCCACTCATGGGTCGCATCGTGCCACCAGCGGGCAATGGGCTCTCCCGGCGTCACTGCTTCATCGTCAAGCTCGGTATAGGCACAAGGCGGAAGAGTTCGGTTCAGCTCATCTGCCCCTGAACAAAGCTCCCTGCCACAAGAGACTGCAGGAAAGCTCCAGTTATCTCGTAACGTATCATGTTCCTGATCATTGATCTCAACAAATCTGACTTGGCAGTGTGAGGCCGAGCCTGCACATGAGGAGAGCAAATCTGGATCGAGATTGCATCTTGGGAGAGCCCGACTGCAAACATTGGCACATCCTTCGATACTCGAGGCGTGGCACGGTTTCGCCCCACCTCAGAGCTTGAGCGAAACCGAAAGTCTCACAGTGTAGGTGTCCGTTTGTCTCACTCATCTGAGCTGCTTGTAGAGCCCTTCCAGTGGTGCACATGAGTGGAAGTCCGCAAAATTGAGAACTGCACCTGGGCGGCACACAGAACCAACGAGGACCGGCACGCAGTGACATGATGGACGCATGACACGCTCCGCCCTCCCCTGAGCTGTCTCGCTCCAGAAGAGCTGAAACTCCCCGACAAGGTGAAGGACTCCGCCCCGCAGCATCTTGAAGTCATCAATCGGATACATCGTCATAGCATGAAGCTCCTCGATTGAGTTACCACGGAGGTGGCGCTAGTAGTTAATGTCTTCTCCGAAAGGTCGGCAGTTCTGAACCCCGACGACATTGCTACCACGGAGCCATGGCCAAGCTGGCGGGGTCGTAGTACTCACAGGTCACTGTTCCTGAACAAGGACTGGCGGCCAAAAGGGCCCCAAAACGGCCCACGCGCGTGCACGCATGCAGCTAAAAACAAAAGGAAAGCCCCTCTCTCCGTTTCAGTCTCCCGGAAGTGCCTGCACGACCTTTGTTGCTCTCTTGCTCCTGCTCTTCCTGTGTGACGTTCTCCTGCGGTGCTACGCAATGGGCAATGGGTGAGGCGATTGAAATCCAAAAAACCTTTCTATTCGATGGCAACAAAGAAAATAAAGCCCAAGTTTGGGAGTTCAGAATCCTCCAGTGGGTCCCACCACCGCACACGCAGCTCTGTGCGAGGGGGAAGGTCCACAGCCCTTACTGGCCGGTGCTGCCTTGCAAAGCCCAGAACCTAGAGACATGGAGACATATGTCACAGGGAAGAAGGGGCAGTTGGGTGAACCCAGTTGGGCAAAGGATCTCAAGTAGAGACAGGAACGAGAAAGGTCAGAGTTGGAGCTTGCCGGTGGCATCTGTTTCTCGAAGACAAGCCGCGAGCTTCACCACTTTGGTGGGCATCTTCAACTTCTTCAAGAGACCTTGGCATGCAGCTGCGGTAGGGTAGTTACAACCCCCCTTCCTCCGTTCAAATTGCCTGTCGCCTAGTAGTCAGCCTTCGGGGATTCATTGGAGTTCTTGCTAAAGCTGCGACGCCAACAGCTGGAACCCCTGTTTCCTTCAAGCCACATAGAAGCCAGGAGCGGCGTTGTGGCCATTCGCACTGCAAACCTTTGACAGCTTTTTCACAGTTGGACACAGGCAGCGGGAGGACGTCCAAAAACCTAATAGCGATGGCCTCCAACCTAGAATCTAGAAGCTATGGCCGCGATGGCCTCCAACCTGCTAGCGATGGCCTCCAACCTAATAGCCATTGGCAATGGGGAAAAAAGGCAGGACGTCCAAACGCATTGACTTAGACGGCTCATGACGCCTCATGACGGCTCACTGCAAGCTGAGGAGCACAAGGGACTTGTTGGGCAGCGCATGGACTTGAAAGGCATCAGATTGCCACGTCGGGCAGCTTCCAGGTCGCGGATGCTCGCAAGGGGTGTATCCGATTGGTGTAAAGGTCTCCATTCCTCAGGTCCAGCCAGCCTTTCCGAATCTCCAAAACGGCAAAAAGAAAACCTGGTTTGGGATAGGCCTGCAAATTCTCTTTTTCAAACCTTCCCTAGACTCTAATGACTCTAATGCAACTTCGCCACCACTGTATAGGATCTGGAAACAGCTGCACGGATGACACCCAGGCTTGCATCGTTGCTTTCCCGCTGGACCTTCTGTAGTTCCGGCTTCTTCTCAAAGTTTCCTTGCACAAACACGTGCTCGCAGGTGAATCTACGCAGTGACTCACTGTCCACGCAAAGTCAAAGATGTCTGCCAACACGGAACCAAAAGAATCAAAGCATCTCAAATGGTAGGTAGATCACATACAAAAAGGCTGGAAGATAGGTACAGATAGGTACCTTCAGAATTGAGTTCTATTAAATCTACACTTTCATCATTTTCCCAGCACTTCCCAGCGGCCACTCATCGACCTCTCCATGGCTTTGAGGGCGTCAAATCGCATCTCATAATCAGCAACGTTCATCGGAAGAACACTGCAGCCCGCACTAAAGTCACTAAAGCAACGCGCAAAGGCTCAAAGGCCGCATGTTCACTTAACTGCGCACATGTCATGATGTTCATGTCGGTTCATGTTGATTCTAGTCCGTGGCTTTCCTACCGAATAGGGGATGTCTATCGAAATCTCTGTCTCGATCACTTGTCTTATGCCCTTTTATATTTCTGAATCTGGCCGGTGAGTTGATGGGGTGATTGCGCTGTGATGATTCTTCATCTGCCCCTCCACAATTCATGAGGCTTCATGAGCCGGCCTTTTTTTCCGCGGGAGAAGACCACAAACATGCGCGTCAAGCGTGCTTTGCTGCGACAAACATGTCTTCAAATGAAATGACAAAACGTGGTCGTTTAGTACGACTGCGCGTTTGGTGCGACCCTTCGCGGCATTTTCGTTTGGATCAGCCCAGGCTTCTGAGACATCAGCCCAGGCTTCGGACAGAAGCCCTGGCGGCACTGCTAGTGATTGCTGTTCTTCTTCACTTTTAGATGGATCCCTTCAATAGAGCATCTAGAAAGACTCTCGGCATGACAAATTCTCAAAGCCGTCAATATCAAGGCCACCCGTCAACAGCTCGAATGCTTGGCTCCTCCAGTTTACTTCGCATTTATCTCGGTTCCATGTGGTCCAGGTGACAGGCTGTCCAGGCTTCCTCCGTCCGATCGATGTGCACTTGTGGCGGCTTGTCTCTCCTTTTTGTCGGTCTGTGTCGGTCGTGGCGGTCTTTAGGCAAACAACGTGCTCTTTGCATTGCGCTCCTGGGCCACGGTGTCGTCGGAGATAATACGGTTGAGCAAGATTCGAACGGCATCTTCGCTGGAATCATCCAAACCAATGACAAAGCGATGGGAGATCTTTGCCAAGGCCTTCTGCTTGCGTTTGACCTCCTCATCGGAGATCGCACTCAAGATTGTTGCAATCGAAGTGGCATTCGGGAAGAGGCTCCGCAGTTGCTTCTCTCGTTGTTCCAAGCTCCTCTTGGGTCTTAACGCTTCAAATACCTCCGCATATTTGGGGTAGAGTTTCTGGAAGTGCTTCCATTGATGGGAAGAGTCATGAAAAGTGCCTGTGCCCCACAAGGAGATTCGTCCATCACCCATAACTTCAGCTTCTGGTACGTAGACCACTGCATCTGCAAACTCTTCTGCCGTGGCAAAAGCTTCGAACATGTCCAATTCCTGATGAAGAAACACCACCGGAATGCAGCCCAGCACAATGGAGTCGATAAGACTCTTTCGTGTGATGCTATCACCAGGCGGTTCCACACAAAAGGTTGATTGCAGTTTCTTCGCGGAGAGTCGTGCATAGTCCATCATGCTGGCCTTCTGTGGTGCCCCAGTCACTTCCTGGATTTGAGTGACTTTGCCACACCTCAGCATCTGTGAAACAAAAATATTGGTCCATATCCACGTCGCTCAAACCACACCAACACCCCTTCTTATCTATGCCTATATATATATTCTTAATAGCAGATACATTGCAAGTGCATGTGAGAGTATTGCCTTGCCAAACTTAGTTGTGCCGTTGGTTCCTCAATTTTCCAGCCTGTTGCATATGGTGCACTCCTTCATGATGGCTTGACGCAAGAAGCCGGCTTGTCCACGACCCGTTCCACTGAAGGACCATAAGTAACGGTCAATACCTCCAAGTTTCACCCGGAGCTTGGCAGGAGTGGACTCGGCATGACCATGGTAGACGGCAGGATAGGGAAATTGATACCAAATGAAAGGCTTGTTGTAGGTCCAGCCCTCTGGGCCGTCCTGCGCGCAAGCGCCAAGCAACGCTTCCTTCTTGGCCTTCCCGACCTTTCTTGCGAATGCTCTTTGTGAGCTGGGGGGGGTGTAGACTGCTAAGAGGTGGTAGCTTACAAGTAAGCTAAGACAAGCCAAGCAAATACCTTGGGATGGCTACTCAACTTAAATAGCTGCAGTAGCTACTACCGATCGAACACAGAGGGGCTCAGGCTTCCTCAAGGCGGGGAAGGCTTCCTTGAAGAAGCCTGAGCCTCAATGAGGTGGTTCCTAGTAGCTTCTTGTTACTAGTAGTATGGCCAGGAGTTACTAGTAGCTTCTTGCTCCTAGTAGCGGTGCCCTTGTTACTAGTAGCTTCTTGCTCCTAGTAGTAAGGCCAGGAGCCCCTAGTAGCGTCCTTGCTCCTAGTAGCGGTGCCCTTTGTTAGTAGCTTCTTGTTCCTATGATCTTTTTGGGATGCTGAACTTATTGTTATTAGGTTGGAGGCCATAGCAGTCCGTTGGGAAACTGAACTATACACATATAGATCCTCCAGCAATCCGTTGAGCTCAATGTTGATGCGGTGTGCCAAACGGAAAGGCATGTGCAGCTCCCACATGTAATTGCATGTCTCCCATCCTGGCAAACTGGGACACATTCTCTCCGAACATCATCCTATAGCCGCATACCCCCCGTGAAATGCACACAGTAATTGTGGTAAGGGGATTGTGGATTCCAATGCTTCCCGCCTGTGACGCGGGGGAGAAATTGGTTGATTCGTTTCGCCCCGATCCTCGTGCATCCATCAGTAGATGTCGAGGGACTTTGGCCTTTGCCCATTGCTCCTCCTCGCGCAGGGACTTGAATGGCATGATGTCTTCATTCAAGACCTGAAAAATGAAGACTGAACTGACATACAGTGTCTTCTATCTCATTTCCGTAGCAGTGTCTTTGCAATGGATACAGGTCCTTCAGTCGAGGATTTAGCTCGGCCAGTGTGTCAAAGAGGTCACTGCTATTGGCACAGGGAAGGTCATGGGATGGCTTGAAGTTGTAAGCTGGGATGATAAAAACATCCGCATCATCCACCTCCCGAGTACGCTGAGCATAATTCAGGAAGCGGTAGTGCAGCATCAAGGGCATGTGGAACCTGAGCATGCCCCAAGCCCTTCGCTACGAACGGAGCGATCGGACGCTACGAACGGGGGCTCCTGGCATCGCTACGAACGGAGCGATCGGACTTGACATCGGCGTTCGACTCGTGTTTTCGAAGCTCGGCACCAAGCAACTGGCTAGAGCCCCAGATCTCCACGCCTTGCACCTTCACTGGTGGCCCACCAAAAACACAGTCAGCGCTCCAACACTCTGGTCCATGTCCCCAGTTCTGAAAGCGGGGAGGTAGATCGTAGAGGTAGACCTTGGGACCCACCTGAGATGGCACCGAGGAGTCCGAGTTGACTCGATCCAGCCTTCACCTTGAACAAGAGTCCAGAGTCCACAGACGTCGAAGCCGCAACAGCGTTGTTGCTTCCTGCTAGTTGCTTCTTGTTATATACTAGTAGCAAGAATGCTCCTAGTAGTCTCGCCAGGAGCCTCTAGTAGCGTCCTTGCTCCTAGTAGCGATGCCCGTTCCTAGTAGGCTTCTTGTTCCTATAATCCAATACCTTTCAAGACAAAGCCCCCAGCCTTGCCATCGTGAGCTGGCTGCAACTCAGGCAAGTCCACAGGGGATGGCAAATCCGCGTGATTCGAGGAGTTTGCTCTGCAAAAAGGCGGCCCGGAAAATGCCAGTTCATGCCCTGAGTGGAGCAGCCAAATGATGGAGAAAGGACTTCAGTCGACTCATTTCATGCCCTGAGTCTCAAATGATAAACTTTCCAGGAGCCCTGATTTGTTTGGAGGAATGACTTCGTTTGAGCGTCCTGCCCCATGGATTCCACATCTTGCCACGCTACCGAATGGGGACGAATCCGTGGACTGCACATGGCAGGACCCATCCTTCCAGAAGGTGAAAAAAGCACAGCCCTCCAAGCACTGGCAACGCTCTTGACATTCTCCAGGACTTTCCACCTGTCAAAGACGAATGGGGATCCGGGATATACCTAGACCCTCCCGAGGCAATAATTTTTGACGTAGGCTGTTGAGGCAATAATTTTTGCCGTAACTCATTTTTTCTGCCGTAGCTCAATCCCTGGAAAGTGAAAACGCCGTCAGAGAAGTGAAAACGCCGTCACAAAAGAAGAATCGCCGTTTTGTTTGATCTACCAAAGAGGATATTGTTTTGGTCCGTCCATACCCTGAAATTGCCTTCTCCTTTTTCACTTGTAAGTAGAGCTCATCGTTTTCAAGCCTAGCACTTCTCAAGATGTTGCAGCCCTTGTCTAAGGTCTCGATTGACATCATGGCAGGAATTGTTCACATTTTGATCATGCAATGGCTGAAAGGATCGCTTGTGACATGTTGTGACAAGTCTTGCTGCCACCTTGAGTGACCCTAGACAGGGTAAGGGAACGACGCCGTAAGTAGGGGGAAAACGCCGTAAGTACGGGGAAAAACGCCGTAAGTACGGGGAAAAACGCCGCAAGTACGGGTAAGAACGCCGTAACTTTAAACGCAAAATCTTCTGCAACGCCGTGCAAGAGGTCGAGTTACCCGCAAAAACCGACGAAAACCCAGCATGTGACACTTCCATCAGCTGCCCTTTCCACTTCACATGATTATGCGAGTTTGCTGATATAATAAGACGCCTTTTACGTTCAGTTGCCTTTCAAGCAAGACCCTACAATGTTTTCATACTCGCTTGCACTAAAACTAAAACGAAATGACTCTTTGAGGCGCATGGATGTGTGGACCAAAATTGCCGTCAACTGACCGAAACTGCCGCAGTTCATCAAGAAACGCCGTCCCCATGAGATCAATATGGAAGAACGCCGCAGAACGGAAAAAGGCGACGTTTCATGAAAACGGCAATTATTATTGCCGTAACGAAGTTCCAGGTATATATATATAACACTAGATTATCTTATATCACTATATGCAAAACTGCTCTCAGACCTGTGAAAACCGAGTGCCCAAAACGAATGACTTGACAAGGGGGCACCTACCAACTTCTCTAAAAGACCCGTCAAACCTGTCTTTTTCTCAACGACACCCCTCCTTGCTGGGCTCATCGATATCTGCACCACTGCGGCCTTGCCCTTTTCGGATGCAGCGCTCCTCCGCGCGCGCCTCGGTGCGGGCATGGAACGCTCAAAGGACATGGAAGGCGACCTCTAAACACTTTGTACAATTGATTTCACATCACCTGATAGTTGGTATCAACATGTCTAGTCTAGCAAGGTTCATAAGATTTCAGTACTATCACCGCTCGGTCGAGGTGCTCGAGACACTGAAGTCGCCGGCTTTGGAGTCGCTCTGGGCGATTTGGAGGAAAGGCGCGCAGGGGTGAATTGGGTTGATGATGCTGTCATCTTTGACACCTTTGGCACTGATGTCCCTGTTTCATTCAGCACGCGCTTGGACTCCTTCTGCGTGATGGACGCGATGGTCCTAAGGTCCTCGGAGCACCGCCAGAGGGAAAGAAAAATAAGGGAAAGTCAGCGCAGCACAAAGGTAAGTTCACAGAAGTACAGTACACGGCGCAAATCTTACCAGTTTCTTGCTTCACAGGATGTCACGTCTCCTCAAACAGCCCCTAAACACTCCAAAGGGAGCATCAATTGTCATTCACATTACTGACAGCTCATTCCGTCAACAAAGTCAACCGAGTGGCAGCCGCAGCAGTGAGCTCTGGGGCTGACCTGCATCTCATAACACGATCTCCAAATCGCATGACATCATGACCCCAAATCGCACGAAGAAGGAATGAGCCCCAAAAGAGTAACAATCGAAATGCCACAAGGAAACATCCCACGCCTGACCGCGCCTCTATGTTGTGGCCACGTCTCGGCGATGCGCTGATTGGGCGGTGGGTTTTTCAATCACTTGGGTGACCGTCCCTCAAAATGGCTTGCGTTGGGCCATTCGGCGGCCCTTCTTGTTTGGGTTCATCAAATCCGAATGGAATCCGAGTTGCCAGGTACAGGCCGAGCAAAGCTCCACCAAGGTAAGGCAGCTGGCGGAAGCTCCATCTGCCAAAAGCCATAGCTGGACCAAGGCATCAAGTCGATGTGCATGCCTAGCCGGCGAACTATGCAAGACATTCTGCGAGTTTTGCATAGTAAAGTGTCTCCCAAAAGACTGGTTGCATGGAGTAGCTGCAGCTCTTTGTACTTTGGGCCGAAACTTGTTGCAACCAGGCAGACCTAATCCCCATTCGATTCCACCTCATGCAGCATCACTCCTTTTCGAAGGCCAGCACACGTGGCCTGCTCGTTAGCACATCAGAAGACGAGGATATCCAAATGCCTTGGAGTGCTTCAAAGAGATTCCGTGTTTTTCGGCTGTGCCATGGTGTGCCGTAATTATAGCTTATGGCTGGGAGCACTGCCCAGTCCAGGTGACATGTTGGTGTTTATTGCTTTTCCAAAACCGCCTTACTTACATACACGGCAAGATTTTTTCAACGAAGCCCCTCCTGCCACTCAGGGTGGCAATGGCTTCCTTGAAAAACTGCCAGTGCACTTCAAAGACCCTGAAAGTGCTGGAACAATCATTGGAACACGTAGAAATGACTCTGATGACAAAGTGGCTCCTTCATCAAAGTGGCTCCTCGGCTAGCGCCTAGGCCTGGAGGTGAAGCAGGGAATCCACCAATCAAATAAATGAACATGTTGATGGCGTTTCATTGGAGAACAAACAGACCGAAAACAGTAGGGCACCAAGCCCAAGTCTTGCGAAACATGGAAGCCGCATCAATTGTGAGGAAAATCTGCGCACTCCGTCGAATGGCGAGCAGCATTATTTTCCCTTGGATTGCCACGTTTCGGCGTGCCCCCAGAGAATTGAACGAAAGTCTGCCACTTTCACCAGCTCTGCTGATTGCATCATGACTGGTATGCGCAAACTGGATGCACAAACTGTCAAAAGTTTTTGTGGCGACTGTCTTAGGCCAACTTGTGGAGATCAGTGCCAGGGCCCCTCACGGGCAATCATAGGAGAAAAAACATATGTTACAAAACAACAATACATACGTATAAATATATATACACGTAACAAACATCTTTGCTCTCAGGATTCGATCTACCTTCAAAGTGCCAGACTAGACTTCGACGACTGCCCACGAACCCCCCGGCTGTCCATTCGATTCGGTGAAACGTCTCTACGTCGCAGAGGTGCCCCTCGCAACATTGATTGGCACGGGACGAGGTGCCGAACAAAAAAGGCCTGGTAAGTATATACTACTAGCTTCTTGTTACTACTAGTAAGGCCAGGAGCCCCTAGTAAGGCACTTGTTTCTAGTAGCTTCTTGTTACTACTAGTAAGGCACTTGTTACTAGTAGCGATGCACTAGTAGCTTATTGTATATACGAGTATATGCTCTGTCATGTATCTGACAGCTGTGTCTAAATGGTCTAATGTCACTCGCGGCTCGCGCTTGTTCACGGACGGATGCTCTTCTGACCATGCACCAGCAGTTCCTCGAGCAGGTCCTGGCGACTGGTCTTAGCACTCGAGAGAGGGAGCAGAAAAGCGTTTCGTGAGTCAACTCTACCCAATTTGAGTTCGACAACTCTCTCATCCCCAAGAGTCCTTCTTAAAGATATCATCCGTCAGCTTCTTCCACTCATCTGCATCCAGTGTCAGAACCCTGGCAAGGTATCACATGACAGGACTTGCATCTGCTTGCAGATGCGCAAACAATGGATCATTGTATAGTCACCATACAGAATGATCAAAGCGCACTAGAGGTGGATGTGCACCAAATGTGTTCTTTGAGTTTCGCACTCTTCTTGAGAATAACATCCAACACACCAGTTTTGAGTCTGTCAAACCCTAGATTGATGCCGTGGCCTCTACCTCGATTCTACTACTAACTAATGACACCAACTCAACAGCTTGCTTCAGGATGGTCACAGAATCAATTACCACCCCATCAAACTACTGAAATGACCACCACAAACGCCCTACAGACGCTTACTCCACAGATTAAGCATCAAAAAAGCACCACCTTCACCCGCATGACACATACCGCCTCCACCCTCGACGCCAAATGAGCCGCTGCCGCAGCTTGGATTCAGCGCGGATCAGCCGCTGCCGCTGGGCGTTATTCGGGTTCATAGCAGGGGTGACGTAGTAGTCTTCGTACTCGTCCATCACCTTCAAAGACGACACCGTGAGGACATGCAAAATTACGGCACGGTCCCTGTGTCACTCTAGCTTAAACATATCATAAGACCATAGGACCAAGAAGACTTCGCCTGCAGGACGGTTTTCCCCACCACCAGATGGAGAGTCAGAACACCATCCGGAAAGCAGCCAGTCACTGCAACATCCATCTCCTGCTGAAGAACACGCAGGATGTCCTCCTCCACCGGGGAGAGTGGGTCAGGCTCCATGTTGTCCAGGGCCTCTGTTGGACAAAGGTCCCACTGTCGGGCGACCGACGATTTGAACTGTTTCAACCGGCTACGAACGGAGCAATGTTCGCTACTAGGGGCTCCTGGCATCGCTACTAGGAGCAAGGACGCTACTAGGGGCTCCTGGCCTTACTACTAGGAGCAAGAAGCTACTAGTTGTAGTGTCCTGACGTTGTGCCAACACAGCACCAAAAGGGCCTAATCGGTTCAGCGAAAGTAGGCACCGACGCTTCCTCGCCTCACTCTCTTGCCTCAAGTTCTGCAACCAAATTTGCACCTGTGCCGGGAGAGTCGTCGGATGGTAGTCCAAGCGAAGACAATCCTCAAGGAGGCGGAGCTGCTTCAGGACCTCCGGCTGCGTCATGCGCACCGGAAGGCCGAGATTCAGCTCGGCACAGCGGGAGAGGTAGGCCACCCGAGCCTCATCGGTGAAGAGGGTCATCACGGTCAATGGAGCCACGGCGCTCAATTGGTCTTTGCTGAGGTCTCGAAAGAAGGGAGCCATCTCACGCAACATGGCATTCACTAAGCGGGGATTCCGAAGGTCCAGCCGGGCGTGGGCATTCATAACCTCCAGGTACATGTCGAGCACAAAGTCATCTGAGAGCCTGAAAAGGGCTTCATTGCCCATCAAGGACATCAGTGTCTGGTCTCGGATGCCAGCTCTCGCCAGCCAATGAAACACTTGGCACAAGCGCGTGGAGGAAGCCGTCTTGATTTCGCGGGCCAGCTCGGCTGCGATGCGATTCAGCAAGTCTGCCCCACGGTACTTGGCCATCACGAATGCCTTGAGCACTCTGAGAATGCGATCGATGGGCATCGTGATCAACAGCTCCTCCGCACGCTTGGCATATTGCCCCCAAAGCTCGGGCTCCACTTCTCCCGTCAAGCAGGACCCCTCGATGGTTTCGAGGAACTCATTTTCGAGTTTCTGAGTGATATCTGGAACTGGTTGTGGTGGTGCTCTGGCCGCTGCCGCATCATAGAACTCATCAGATGGATGACCTGGTGGTGCAAAGCCACGTTCTAAGGCTGCTGCTCTAAGTGGCTGCTCCAATGCGGTATGCACTGGACCAAGGGATGCAGGCATGGGCCGTGCCCGCGTGTCACGCACAGTGAGCTCCAACTTGGAATCCGGTGGAGCGATGCTGATGTGCGTCGCCATGTAATGCACATCATGCCGAAAGGCGTCGGTCTGTGGCTTCTCAATCACATCCTCCCGAAGCTCCTCTTCGCCTGGCGCGGTCTTCGCGCAGAAGCTTTGGAACTCGGTCTCCTCACGAACATGACGGAACTTGGAAAAATGGATTGGAATCCTTAAGTGACATAGGTTTCAATAGCATCTCCATTCCCATTTGCCCTAGGTGTGGAGCCAGACTGGATACCATCTGAAGCCAGTCCTCTCCAGCTCTAAGTTTAGCCCGTTCGCTGGCTGAGACGCGCGGGTAAATGCGGCGTGCACTCGGTGAAGGTAACTTGGTCACCGCTGCCATTGCATTTGAGCCACTAGTGGCAGGTGTGACAGGTGGCGTCATGGACTTGAACATGGCGTCATGTCTAGGCAAAGGCATATGCCGAATTTGGGAGATGAAGGAACACAAGTGGCAGCTAGATGGACATAAAATGGTGCCTGAAGCCACACAAGGAATGGATATGATATCTATATATATATAATTGATATCTCTGCCAAAGCAAATGCACTGTTGTTCGCCTCTTCGCGCCCATTTTCAGGTAGCGGAGGCGGTGGACGCCAGACTAGCTCCTTTCTGGACAGCTGCCGAACAGAGCGCTGCGTCTCAAAGTTGTAGTAGTACCGGAGGCCTCAATTGTCAGCATCCAGTGTCAACCTTGAAACTTAAGACCGAAACACGCATGAAAGTAGTTGGCCGAAAGAACCTGAGAACAAAGTCCAAGAGACCCTGGCCATCGTGAAAGGGATGCCACTGCACATGAACGATCTGCTGGCTCTGCACACTCTCAGACTTCATCTTGAAGCCTGGAATAGGTGCCCCACAGCGGGAGCTAACAAAATGCACTACGCAGTGACGCAGTCTCTAGAACTTTCATCTCCGGTTCTCTTTGCATTCACGCCTGCCATGGACAGTTCCAAGCGGGGATGTTCTGACCGGCGGCCCTTGGCATGCAACCGCTCGAAGCAGCTCCGGCAAAAGAGGCCTGGCCAGAACCGCCACACCTCCCCGATTCCAGCATCATGTGATCTGGTCGGGAGATGCAAAAAAAAACACAATACCCTCCAACCTAGTAGCGGTGGCCTCCAACCCAATAGCCATGGCCTCCAACCTACTAGCGATGGCCTCCAACCTACTAGCGATGGCCTCTGACCTAATAGCGATGGCCTCCAACTTACTAGCGATGGCCTCCAACCTAATACCCATGGCCTCCAACCTACTAGCGATGGCCTCCGACCTAATAGCGATGGCCTCCGACCTAATAGCCATGGTCTCCAACCTGCTAGCAATGGCCTCCAACCTAATAGCCATGGCCTCCAACCTACTAGCGATGGCCTCCGGCCTAATAGCGATGGCCTCCGACCTAATAGCCATGGCCTCCAACCTACTAGCGATGGCCTCCAACCTAATAGCCATGGCCTCCAACC